AGCTGCCGGTTTTGATTGTGTAGGATGATCGAGAATGCTGTCCATCCGAAACCGTTGAGGATAAAGAACGAGAGAGAATTGACAAACATAAAGAAATATTTATAGTTTCTTTTGCCGATACAGTTATCAACCCACGGGCAGTGGTGATCAAAATTCTGAAAGAGAGAGAGAGAGGAGAGGAGTTAAACACAGGAAATAATTAATGTATGATAACAAATAACAGAACTAGACAGAGATGGGAAATGATGACAAGAAAGAGAGAGCTGGGGAAGGAATAGAAGAGAGAGAGAGAGGGGGGGAGAGAAAGAGAGAGAAAGAGAGAGAGAGAGAGAGAGAGAGAGAGAGAGAGAGAGAGAGAGAGAGAGAGAGAGAGAGAGAGAGAGAGAGAGAGAGAGAGAGAGAGAGGGGGAGGGAGAAAGAGAGCGGGAAAAGAAATCATTTTCCTACTTACCTCTACACAGTTGTCACATATAGAGCAGTGAGAAGTCCTCGGGGGTCGATAAAACTTGCAAGTCTCACACCATTTCATTCTAACTGAAACACCATTAACTACTGCACCTCTGTAGAGGGGCTGTCTAAAATCATCTTCTTCATTTGTGGATTCTAAAAATATGAAAATTTTTTTAATGTTACAAATAAAAGGAGAGGAATTAGAGCTATGCAATTAAGAAGAGGTGCCAAGTTTGAAACTGAATCACTGCTTCACAAGTGCATGTATATACATGTACAATTGTACATGTATATACATGTACATGTATATACATGTACATGTAAAGGCAGATTTACAATATCATAATAGGCTTGACGTTACGCTGACGCTAAAATAGGATTTGGTTCTATTCTAGCGGAAAGCATGTGCCAAAAGGTTAAATCGCCCACACTTTTGATTAAAAATTGACGGTATGTTGACCTATTGGCTATTGTGAAATGTGGTAGGTAGAGCTTAATTGAAACTGTTTTAGCAACATGACAGCTATTTTTTAGAATTTTGTTCCACAACAGTGGACAGTGATAAATAAATAAAAGGGAGATTGAGAGAGAGGGGGAGAGAGAGAGAGAGAGAGAGAAAAGAAAAAAAGAAAGGAAAGAGAAAGGGAGGGAGGGAGAGAATAGAAGGGAAAAGGAGAAATGGATTGAGAAATACAGCCCAGAGTGTGTTATGAAGACAGATCACCACTATAGCAGTCCCTAATACAAGCCCAATACACCATGATACATAACAAAACCGATGATATAAGTCAGGGCTTAACTATAAATGGAGATAAAGAGGAAATGGCAGATTAGCTTTACTACACACATCAACTCCTTAAGGATCAAACAGAGAACACACTATAGGCTAGGTCCAGCTGGTGGCCCCTCCTGTTGCTAGGGGGCAGTTAGGAACATTAAGTAATTAAAATTACAACAATTAGTGCTGGCATTTAAACTACTAATGCTTAAAATTGTTTGATCTGATTGTACTGGAGTAGCTAGAATTACTGACTAATAGGACAAATTAGATTAAAAGTATAGATAAAATAATATAATACAGGGCTGTGTATATACATACAGGGCTGTATGCAGGGAATAAGGCATGTACAGTTTTTTCAACATAAGTGTTATGCATTTTAATTTGTAAACTTTCCACTTACATGTATATAGAATACAACATTCATTATCGTGCAATTTCCATTTAAATAGTTATAACTTCTAAACAAACAAGTCAAATACAGGCCATCTTATCATTTTCATAAAAATCATTTACAGTGTAGCCTCTTTATTAAGGATACCATTGGGCCCACACTACCTGTCCTTAATACAGAGATGTCCTCATTTCAGAGGTACTTTTGTATAGGCTTGTACCAATTGGGACATTACAAAATGTCCTCATTATAAAGGTGTCCTCATTATAAAGGTGTCCTCATTATATAGGTGTCCTTATCTCAGAAGTGGTCTACAAAGGGAGGAGGTTCCACTGTGTCCATACTACATAGCACATAGGATCAACAGTAAGCATGAGTGTGTAAATATATGTGTAAATTGATATTAAGTCGTACAATGAAGTACATGTACATGCAATATAACGAATGAAAGTTTAATAGACCATGATAATGATTACATTAACCCCCTGATACAATTATTATACAATGTACTAAAACATGTAAACATGATGTATACATGTTTATATACTCATAAATTCGTAATATGTAGTAAATACGATATTTATAACCAATAGCCACATAATACAAAATTATTGTACCTCTGGGATATATTCCTGGGTCAACAAAGGAGGCTAGGAAAAAGGTAGACATCACAAAAAAGTACATAGGGACAAGATATGATCCAGCCAGTATTGGTATGACCAGGTAGATTCTGTTCGGCTCATATCTGATGTAGAATTCAAAAATATTCCTAATACTAGAAAGAGAGAGAGGAGGAGGAGGAGGAGAGAGAGAGAGGTTAGAGTTATGATATGGCTAGAAACTGGTTCCGAGCTAACGGGAAAGCAAAGAAGAGTGCTCCTCCTATCAGTAGCAAGATGGTGGCGATTATGTAAGGCAGTTTAGAGAGAAAAGACATTTTTCGTCCTCACTATCTCCTCTCCATTCACACAATCTGAGTATGGTTTCCGTTTATTATTCGGATACTCAAGGCACTACCAAATTATTGGGATACTTCCGTATACTAATCCGGATTGGGGTGATGTACAGGTTGAAAGATCCTCTGGAAAATTTAAAATTAAAGTAATATTTTCAAGCGTTTAAAGTAGTTTTCTTATTTTTTTGTTTTAGGGTAAGCCTCAGAAAAGCCAGCTTAAGTAGAAGAAGGTTAGAACTAGCTTCAAATCCTCGCGAATCGAATGAAAATGGTAATCTTCATAATTGTTATTGTTGCAAGTGATAATTAATCGTTTTACTCCTACTCTCTGTATACTATTTGACTAGCAGACCTTGAAGTTTTGACATTCCATTGGCAAGAGAAATATTTTAGTCCAGTGAGTTAGAATTTTAGAATTTTTTATTTTTTAATAATAATTATGGCCTTCTACACAATCGTACTGGTGGGTGTGGCTCAGGGCATTAATTAATTCAGGGATACTAAATTAGCATTATTTTAGCACAATAAACTACATGACATATTTAATGGGTAACTTCATGATGTATTATTAAGCTACTTAACCGAATAACAATTAAAGCTGCCATAGACACTGCAGGTTTTGAATAGTTGCAAACTTTCAAAAAAAACCATGGACTATAGCCCATGGTTTTTTTTCCAAAAAATGGCTCCAAAATGATCCCCAATTTTTATAACATTTTCTGATACATATTGATGTCCTTATGCTATGTAGAAAGTTTGAGCTTATTCTGACTTCAATTTTTCAAGTTATGGCGATTTTAAAAAATGCCGAAATTCTGAAAAATACCCAAGGCTTATAGCCCATGGTTTTTCCAAAAAATAGTTCCGAAACCACTCCAAATTTTTATTACATTTTCTGATACATATTGATGTCCTTATGCTATGTAGAAAGTTTGAGCTTATTCTGACTTCAATTTTTCAAGTTATGGCGATTTTAAAAAATGCCGAAATTCTGAAAAATACTCAAGGCTATAGCCCATGGTTTTTTCCAAAAAATGGTTCCGAAATCACTCCAAATTTTTATTACATTTTCTGATACATATTGATGTCCTTATGCTGTGTAGAAAGTTTGAGGCGATTCCAACTTAAATTTTTCAAGTTACGGCCATTTTAAAAACATCAAAATTCTAAAAATTACCCAAGGCTATAACCCATGGTTTTTTCCAAAAAATGGTTCCGAAATCACTCCAAATTTTTATTACATTTTCTGATACATATTGATGTCCTTATGCTGTGTAGAAAGTCTGAGGCGATTCCAACTTAAATTTTTGAAGTTACGGCCATTTTAAGAAAACGTCAAAATTCTGAAAATTACCCAAGGCTATAGCCCATGGTTTTTTCCAAAAAATGGTTCTGAAATCACCCCAAATTTTTATTACATTTTCTGATACATATTGATGTTCTTATACTGTGTAGAAAGTTTGAGCTTATTCCGACTTCAATTTTTCAAGTTATGGCGATTTTTAAAAATACCGAAATTCTGAAAAATACCCAAGGCTATATAGCCCATGGTTTTTCCAAAAAATGGCTCCAAAATGATCCCCAATTTTTATAACATTTTCTGATACATATTGATGTCCTTATGCTGCGTAGAAAGTTTGAGCTGATTCCGATTTCAATTTTTTATGTTATAGCAATTTTAAGAATAACATTTTTTGAGTTACATGTATATGAGATATTTAAAAAGATTATTAATTATTATTTACAGCTGGAGAAACGAAAATATGCTGAAGAACCTCCTTCAAATGAAGACTACCAAATATTACTAGCAAAGTATGTTCGGTGGGTGTGGTGGCCACACCTCTTTTTGATGTAGCGTATTTCTTTTGCAGGAAAGATAGAAATGCTAACAGTCGATTGTTTAGTTATATCAGCCAAGATCGTTACCAGGTAAGCATTTCTCTTAGCTATGGTGATGATGATTGTTTTGATTTTTATGATAGCCTTATGATGATGAACCTGTGATTAAGAAAGGAAGGTAAGAGAAAGAGGGGGGAGAGAGAGAGGGAGAAGAGAGAGGGGGGAAGGGAGGGAGGGAGGGAAAGAGGGAGAAGAGAGAGAGACAGAGAGAGAGGGAGAGCGAGAAAGAGAGAGGTTGTAAGCAGGAGAGGTGGTAGTAGTTTTGCATCATTTTTTATGCAGGAGAAAGAATGCAGCTCACCACAGACAAACCATGTATGTGATGGCTGACTTGCAGTCACAGATTGAGTCAGTATAATGATTATAATAAAATGTACTTTGCATCCTCCATTTTCTTATTATCATAGTGGACTGGATTTTGATGAGAAAGTCCTATTCACAATCACGGTAAGTTAATACTATGGAATAAGGACTCCTGGTGATTTTAATAATTAATAATAATTTTAGGTCGATACTACCGTCGGACAGTTAATGTTGTCACGTGACGTATCACATGATGAACACTGGTACAGGATTGAGAGCTCTGGTAGAGGTCAGTATACTATATGGGCATCACTAGTAAACTATATGGGCATCATTAATATACTATATGGGCATCATTAATATACTATATGGGCATCACTAGTAAACTATATGGGCATCATTAATATACTATATGGGCATCACTAGTAAACTATATGGGCATCATTAATATACTATATGGGCATCATTAATATACTATATGGGCATCATTAATATACTATATGGGCATCACTAGTATACTATATGGGCATCATTAGTATACTATATGGGCATCATTAGTATACTATATGGGCATAATTAGTATATTTCAGTATACTATCTTCGTTTTTAGAAATATTTGAATATCGAATAGAGAATGTGTCGCAACCAATTACTGGAGAAGAACTACAAAGGGAGAGACAATTGCATAATCAGGTAATTAATATTCATAGATCATTAATTATTGTATCCATGTATTATTTTTGTTTTTTTATAATAATTTTATTCATAGTTGCATAGTCATCAGTCTGAGAGGCTCAAGCAGTCATTAGGGGCGGAGTTTCAGTCACTGGTAATCACATGATCTCACATGACAATCACATGACTTATTCTATTTATAGCCTCCTGATAAAGATACTAAACTAGTACACATTATTGGCTCAATAGGTAGGTTACTGTATAGTTGGAATTTTTGGAGGGAATTAAATTTGTTGAATTGGCATTTTGATAGCCATTTGCCAAAATTAAAATCTGCCATTTTGAGCCATTATGCGCATGCTCAATGGCACGTGGCTACAAATTCGCCAAATTAAAATCTGCCAATCACCAAAATTTAGCAATTCGCCAAATTTTACTCCCTCCAAAAATTCCTGCTTTACGGTAACTCTCTCTCTCCTTTCTCTATTTTTATTTCATTTAGAAACTGCTGAAGGATTTGGTTGGTCTCCTGTATATATAATATTTCAGCTCCACCTTCCAAATGAGGGTATATTATTAGTAATACTTTATGATGTAATTGTCTTGTTACTATGTATAGGTTTTGAGCTAAAGAGTGGAATTGAATTAATATCTACACAACTGAGTTCTCCCAATAGTGACCAGGTATGGTATAAAACAGTGTAATGTTTGGTTATTTATGAAGAAATTGTTAAACATGAAATCTGCTGTTTCCTTTCAATCTTCAATGACAAGTAGTTGAAAATTCCCCAATATAAGGCCCCGTTTACACTAATCCACTTCACTGAATCCGGATTGTTTTTGCTATTATTCGTTTCAGGTGTTTACACTAATCCAGCAGCTGCATTTTCATAAGATTTATCATTCGTTTATAGAAGTATCCACTTCAGTATCCGTTTACATTTTGCTTTGGATAGGTGATGCGTTTTCATGTATTAGTGTAAACAGAAGCTGTATCAGAATCAAAAAGTCTCCGTTTACATGTAAAAATAGATTAGTGTAAATGGGGTCTAAAAATGCCAGTTGGATCAATCCACAAATTATAAGTCCCGCCAAGATTCATGATATAATAATTATTCATCGTTTCTATTGTACATGTTATAGCTATAGTCATGTACTGAATTCTCAATTGCGCCTTGTATAGGTGACCCATTTTTGTACTCCATTTGAATACGAGCTACTAGTCTCCACTCCATCTCCCTCTTCTGGTTCATCTCCTTCAATGTCGTCTCCTTTTGTTTCCGTTGAAGTTTCTTCTCTTGACTTTTGGGACAGACACAGATTAGAAGGATATGGAACTTACTCTCTACCATTAGTACCTGGTTAGTTACCCGTAAGTCTAGAAATTTTCAAAGTGTATTAAATTTTGATGTTTTGAAGGAGCCTGCTAACCACAAAAATTTAGTACCTTGAAAATTTTTACACTTATAGCAGTTGATTTAATTGTCTGCCTCTTCTTTGTTAAGCCTACTCTTTTTCACTCTTCTCTCATTTTGTCATTTCCTCTATAGCATCACTTACAGTTCCCATCAATACTTCTAAGCCGAGTCCTACCTCGTTAAAGGAGCAGCTGTTGCATTATTTCATCGGCACTTCCAGTCGGACCAGCCTGAAGGATAGCAGAGATGCAAAGAGCAGGTTTGGAGCTACCAGTATCTCAAGTGGAAAGGTTTACATTAAATTGAGTGTGCTCAGTCTTAGCCGGTAAGTTAAGGCTTGCTTTTAGTCTTAAATTTTGATAAATTTAGCTCCATTCACTAAAATTTTTACCTCCAAATGCAGATGAAAAAAGTAAATTATTAATTAAAGCAAATTACTTTTTCAAAAGTAATTTGCCAAAATGTTAACACTCTAATTTTTATGCTGATGGAAAATTTTGCATTATTACTTGTTAAAAATTAAATTAATTATTGATTGTTTTTTGTAGTGAAACTGCTGAAATATATTCCAGTAAAGAAATGAGAGAGAAGCTAAGGTAGAAAATGTTTAAAATTTATTATCTTGGCAATTGATTTTGGCAATGCAACAATAGTTCAATCAGTGCAATATCCTGAATTCCTAATTCTTTTTTCCAGGCAACAGCAAGGAAATTTGTCTATGTCAGTCAAAGCAGTTACAGGTAATGCATTAAAATTTCACCATTTCTTCTAATCTCCTATATATTTTCATCCCTCTCTCTCTCCATTGCTTTTTTAGACGCATATCACAAAGCACGCAGCAAAGCCTTAGAAGTGCTGAAGACTTCTGAAGATCAGAGCAGCTAATGACTGCCAACAATTTACACACACCAATTAAAGTCACTTATTCTGATATAAATGTGTTAATATGTATTGACAAGTTAAAGTATTAGTGGAAGGAAGAAAGGGAGGGAGCCTGGGTAGAAGTGCAATTTTATAAATCCAGTTTCTTCACTTCTTAGTTCCTGTTTGAAAGTGGGAGTAACAGTTTGTGGTAGCATCTGCTGGTTGAATGAAAACAGGTTTGAGTTGATAGCCATACTGTTAACATTGTTGAGGTTCTTAAACTTCCAAGCAAAATAGAGTAAGTAACTGTATCTAAAAATGGCTGTATAATAATTTCAAATTCCATTTATTCTTAAATCATCACCATAGTAACTGCTTTCCAGTTATTATGCACATCAGTGATCCATCATCTCCTCCAATGGCCAGTGTCATTACAAACGATAACAAGAGTCAACTAAAAGCTGAGCTAGCACAGAGAGAAGAAGAATTATTTAAGGCAGTGGACTATGGCCAGCAATTGTTAGAGGAGAAAGAAGCACTGGTGGAGGAGCTGGAGAAAATGAAATTGAAATGTGAAGAAGCTGAAGGAGTAAGCATTTTATTGAAAATACATAATGGGAAAGGAATTAAGAAATACAGCATTTGCCAGGCACTTGATTGTACAGTTATATGGCAAGCACATTTTGATAACATATACCTGTTGAGTTTTTCACTAATTGGTGACAGCTAGCAACTTTTGCATGTAAAAGAATGCTGAAAATATTATTCTATATCATGTGTAGTAATACTGCTTTAAGTTGCAAGTTTTATTACTCAACTAATAGACATATCTCATTTCTATATCCTCCATTGCTCCTTTACTATAGAGATACGCTTCTCAAAAGGTTTCTTACGACAAGTCTTTGCAGTTTTTGCAGCAGACGACAAGCGATCAAATGAAAGAGCTAGAGGAGGAGCTTGAGAGAAAAGACAACAATTTGAAGGGGCTGGAAAACAAACTGAAAGGAGAGCTAAAGAGCTTTGAGCTCTTGTCAGAGGAGAATGCAAAAAATGTTGAAGATCTGAGAAAACTGGAACTAGAAGTAAGGTGCATGATAGGAATTACAAGAGCAGGGGAAGGCGGTTTAAGATATGATGCATGCAAAAAAACTATACTGTATAGCTTCAAATTTTTGTCAGTCAAAAATTTCGTCAAATTCGTGAGGCAATTTTGTTTGAAAAAATTTTTAATTGACAAAATTTTTGTTCTACGTGAGTAGTATGCAGATTTATAACAGAAATGACAAATATTTACTTTTGACAAGAATTTGGAGCTATACTGCATAATAGATTTGCATGCATGCATGAATGTATAAAATAAAACACATAATTACATGTATATAGCTGGAGAAAAACAAGAAATCCTCTAAGGCTATGTTAGATGATTCTGAGGCAATGGTGAAAGACCTTCAAGAACAAATTGTACAATTGCAAGAAATAAATGAAGAAACATTATCAGAAGTACATAAAATAGTTTTTGTGCATGGAATGAAAAAAGAGAAAGTATGACTGACTGCAGCATGCAATGATGATATTGAAGATGCAATGTAGATTAAATGTACTGCATGCATGAAAGATGCTCTTTCATGCAGTTGAAAGAAAAGAAAGAAGAGGAAAGGACATTAAGAATGGAGTATAGTGATCTCTTGGAAGATCATCAAAAACTCAGAGAAGAATTGAGCATGACTCAGCAAGCTTGCTTTCAATGGCATTCAGAATATAAAGAGCAACTGGAGCAAGTAAATAATAATAATGATAATAATAATAATCACAATAATATATAATTATTATTATTATTATCATTATGCTACAATTATCGTTCCTATGTAAAGACAAAGGTTTTGACAGAGTCTTTAAATGATCAGGCTTCTTTAATGCTCACTAAAAAGGTAAGATTGGACAGCAAAACACAAGCATTATTGATTCTTTAAATTTGTACACCAGGTTCCTGACATAGAGCCATTATCAGAAGAAATGAAGGTATAATAAAAAATAGATAAAATTTCTTATGATTTCGATTTCTTCCTTTCTGTCTGGTAGTCACTATTCAGTGATTGTGAAAGGTAATGTATATACATGTATGCAACATATTAAATGGGAGAGTTGTACGATTTCTTGTGTATCTTCTAAAATTAGATGCTCCATTTTGCAAGAAGATATAGAGCGCCTCCAGGCAGACTACACTGAGCTTAATGATCAGCTCATGAAAGTTGTCCAGCAAAAATATGAACTGCAGCAACAGTTAGAAGACTGGCAGGTATTGCTTTATAATTATCATACATTGTATGCATTTGCATAATGTTTGAAAGGTTGAGCTATTTAAAAGTTGTACTAGATCATCAATCAAAAAAATTAATAATAAAAAATCAAGAGTCAATTTTGGAAAAAACCCATGGGCTTTTCAAAAATTGAATAATTTTTTTAAAAAGCAGCTCAAACTTTCTATATAGCATAAGGACATCAATATGCATTAGAAAATGTAATAAAAATTGGGGGTCATTTTTTGGTCAATTTTTGGAAAAAACCATGGGCTATAGTCCATGCTTTTTTCAAATTCTGGCTCGTTTTAAAAAATTGTCGTAACTCGAAAAATATTTGTCGGAATCAGCTCAAACTTTCTACATAGCATAAAGACATCAGTATGCGTTAGAAAATGTAATAAAAATTGACGGTCATTTTTTTGCCAATTTTTGGAAATAAACCATGGGCTATAGCCCATGGTTTTTTTTCAAATTCTGGCTCGTTTTAAAAATGGCTGTAACTCGAAAAATATTTGTCGGAATCAGCTCAAACTTTCTACATAGCATAAAGAGATCAATGCGTATTAGAAAATGTAATGAAAATTGGGGGTCATTTTTTGGCCAATTTTTGGAAAAAACCATGGGCCATAGTCCATGGTTTTTATCAAATTCTGGCTCGTTTTTAAAAATGGCTGTAACTCAAAAAATATTTGTTGGAATCAGCTCAAACTTTCTACATAGCATAATGATGTCAATATGCATTAGAAAATGTAATAAAAATTGGGGGTCATTTATTGGTCAATTTTTGGAAAAAACCATGGGCTATAGTCCATGCTTTTTTTCAAATTCTGGCTTGTTTTAAAAAATGGCGTAACTCAAAAAATATTTTTCGGAATCAGCTCAAACTTTCTACATAGCATAACGATGTCAATTTGCATTAGAAAATGTAATAAAAATTGGGGGTCATTTTTGGCCAATTTTTGGAAAAAACCATGGGCTATAGTCCATGCTTTTTTTTCAAATTCTGGCTCATTTTAAAAATGGCTGTAACTCGAAAAATATTTGTCGGAATCAGCTCAAACTTTCTACATAGCATAAAGAGATCAATACGTATTTAAAAATGTAATGAAAATTGGGGGTCATTTTTTGGCCAATTTTTGGAAAAAACCATGGGCTACAGTCCATGCTTTTTTTTCAAATTCTGGCTTGCTTTAAAAAATGGCGTAACTCAAAAAATATTTGTCGGAATCAGCTCAAACTTTCTACATAGCATAAGGACATCAATACGCATTAGAAAATGTAATAAAAATTGGGGGTCATTTTTTGGCCAATTTTTGGGAAAAACCATGGGCTATAGTCCATGCTTTTTTTTAAATTCTGGCTTGTTTTAAAAAATGGCGGACCTCAAAAAATATTTTTCGGAATCAGCTCAAACTTTCTACATAGCATAACGATGTCAATTTGCATTAGAAAATGTAATAAAAATTGGGGGTCATTTTTTGGCCAATTTTTGGGAAAAACCATGGGCTATAGTCCATGCTTTTTTTTATAATTCTGGCTTGTTTTAAAAAATGGCGTAACTCAGAAAATATTTTTCGGAATCAGCTCAAACTTTCTACATAGCATAACAATGTCAATTTGCATTAGAAAATGTAATAAAAATTGGGGGTCATTTTTAGGCCAATTTTTGGAAAAAAACCATGGGCTATAGTCCATGCTTTTTTTTAAATTCTGGCTTGTTTAAAAAAATGGTCGTAACTCGAAAAATATTTGTCAGAATCAGCTCAAACTTTCTACATAGCATAAGGACATCAATATGCATTAGAAAATGTAATAAAAATTGGGGGTCATTTTTTGGTCAATTTTTGAAAAAAACCATGGGCTATAATCCATGCTTTTTTTTCAAACTCTGGCTCGTTTTAAAAATGGCTGTAACTCGAAAAATATTTGTCGGAATCAGCTCAAACTTTCTACATAGCATAAAGAGATCAATATGTATTAGAAAATGTAATGAAAATTGGGGGTCATTTTTTGGCCAATTTTTGGAAAAAACCATGGGCTATAGTCCATGGTTTTTTTCAAATTCTGGCTTGCTTTAAAAAATGGCCGTAACTCAAAAAATATTTGTCGGAATCAGCTCAAACTTTCTACATAGCATAAGGACATCAATACGCATTAGAAAATGTAATAAAAATTGGGGGTCATTTTTTGGTCAATTTTTGAAAAAAACCATGGGCTATAGTCCATGGTTTTTCTGGCTCGTTAAAAAATGGCCGTAACTCAAAAAATTTGTCGGACACAGCTCAAACTTTCTACATAGCATAACAATGTCAATATGCATTAGAAAATGTAATGGGTGATTTGGCAATCAAAGCTCAAACCTAAAAACCTTTCTATAGCCATTGAAGTGCTTCATTTTCGTTCCCATACTTAATATTTCATTCCCATACCTAATTCTCATACGCAGAGTGACATGGAAAGGCTAATAGGAAGACAGCTGGAGAGGTATTATAAAAAAGAATAGAATAATAGAATAAATAAAAAAAGATGTCCACAATATGCTGTTCAATATCCCCTACCAAACTAGGTGCCTATACACAGACATGAAACATAATAATAATAATAACAACAAAAATTAATATTTATTTTATTATGTACATGTAAACAATTATACATAAAAAAATTAATACAACTATAACATTAAATAATGATAATAATAATAATGATAATAATAATAATAATGATAATAGTAAATTAGTATAGTATCCAAATAGCAGCTAGAAAAGTGGCTCAATCGGTAATTATATCATAAAAAATGCAACACATAAAGTATAGTCAATGAGAGTAAGACAGAGATGAAGACAGGAAAAAAAGGACAAGAAAGATACAACTTTAGCAACACTTCTTCTTCCCTCCTTTGGCACCACTCGATTTGTTCACCTTTATGGTGTCCTTGGTGCCTCCTCCATCTTTGGCTGTTTCCTTTTTTGTTTTTAAAACCAGTCGAGTTATAGCATAAAATACCTATAAAATAAAATAAAAATAATAATAATAATAATAAGTAGTAGTTGGAGGTAAGGTCAATATTAATTCAAGCAGCACACATTAACATACAGGTGTTGGCATTATACGTTGAAGAATTGGGCTCAAGTCATTTTAAACATTTGTCTATAATTAATAGTCACTTTAATTTAGCATTAAAAAATTATGTATAGTCTTAAAAATTAAAAAAAGGACACAGAATAATTTTTTCCTGTTGATAATAAAATTGGCTGTAATCCTCTCTTCCTTAGCTATATACAACAGAATTCAATAACACTTCATTGTATGGTAAACAAAATGGTTTAGTGACACAAAATGGAGAAACAAGACAGAGAGAGAGAGTGTGTGTGTGTGTGCATGTATATCTATATCCAATTGATAAACAATAACAGAGGAAGAAGAGAGAGAGAGAGAGGGGGGGGAGGGAAAGAAGATCCTACCTCTTCTACATTGATGTTCTCTTTGGCACTCGTTTCGTACAAATCTATACCAATCTGTTCTGAAAATTTCTGAGCGTCTTCTGTGGACACAACCTTCTTATCTGGGCTATCATTCTTATTGCCAACTAGGGGAGAGAGAGGGAGAGAGAGAGGGAGGGAGAGAGAGACACAGAGAGAGACAGAGAGGGAGAGAGACAGAGACAGAGAGACAGAGACAGAGAGAGACAGAGAGAGGAAGTTAGGAGGTGTAAGTCCATATATAGTATAGAGAGTACATTAAAGAAGACAAGAGAGTGAAAGCCATAACAAAGCTTTAATTATCAGTGAACTAACTGAACTTGGAAACCCAATTAAACACACACAAATATCACATTAATACAATCTTAATGTACATACACATGTACATTGTACATACATGGTAAAATCTACTGCCAGGCCAGCCCACATTAATATTATTATTATTATCACAACAGTATCAGCTTTACATCATACAGATTACATCACTAATAAAAGTTATTATAATATGAAAATCTGCCCACATCTAAAAATAGCAAGACAGCCCACGCATTTTGATTAAGCTTTTTAAAATTAACTGTCAACAAGGCAGCCATAAGTATATGAACTATACGATTAATGTACATTCTGACTGCTTTTGAAAATGCAAGTAAAACTTGACATTAAGTTGATTATTACAATACACATTAACATTATATTAATATGGTAGCTATCAACATTGCCACGTTAAATTAATTTATAACCTGTAGTATATTTATAAACACTCATTCCTATTAGGACTGTATGTTATGGTCAATTAATTTCAATTTGGTGCATCATATTGTCAATATGATTATTAGTTATTAATAATTGTTTGTCATTCATTTATTATCAAATAATAATACTTAAAAGCACCAGAAGCTACTGAATAAAGAGGATTAACAAAACCATTGTAGTACTTTAGGCCCAAAGGTATAATAATATTCAGTCTCTCTTAATGGACACTCTCTATAGCGTACACCTCCATTTAACGGATAGCACCTAGTGTACCAATTGCATTCCTTACTGTATAGAATAACCTCCACATAAAGGACACCTCTGTATAAAAACAAGTTTTCTTCTACCAAAGTGTCCATTATATAGAGTAAGGCTGAAACAAATAGTATTTTTCACTATTCGAATAGTTGGCACGCTAAACGAACGGATATCAAATAATTCAACTGTTATTACTGAATGATTATAAACTACCTTTTTTGGTGTTAAACTTTTCAAAATGATGCCAAACGGGGCTTCTTAGAGATCGAGAACCACTTTCCCGGGCCACAGCATCAGTATTTAGCAAGTTGGTAAATAAACAGACCAACGTTAATTATTGCAATAACAATTAATACTTTTATTATGCGAATAGTTCGAACAGAAAAAAACTATTCAAATATCTCACTATTCGTTTCAGCTCTAATATAGAGGCTACACTGTATATGTATATTATAAATATACATAGCATCTACTACCCATAGAATCAAAATATTTATGACAAGAAGGCATCAAGACTAAAGGCAGAAACCAATCACTAAAGTTTTCTCTTGAGTTCTAACTGTTAACAATATGGTGGTTTTCAGAATGATATAATATTCATGTACTATAGCGTATTACACAGGCAACTCTTCATGTTCAGAGGTCATGTATTTTGATCTTTGGTGGTGATAATAAAAGTCAATATTAAAAGTGATACTTATTATCATTTATTGAAACTAATATCCTTCAGTGCATTGAGGGCTCTGTGAAAGCATGGTACTCAAAATATTGTGAAATTGAAGGAACACATTCAATTTTTTTTACTATTAGCATGAATCATACAAAATTTTGTGGACAGGATTGAGCATGAGAAATTTTCTTGCACATAAAAAGATTTTAATACACAAGTTTCCGAGAACCAAATATTCCAGGAACACAATATGAACCCAAAATATCACAGCCTACCACTGATGCATCTAGTACTGGTATAGAATCAAATACTGGTACTGGTATAGAATCAATTCATAAACCTGGTAGTGGTATAAAATCTGGTACTGGTATAGAATCAAATACTAGTACTGGTATAGAATCAAATACTGGTACTGGTATAGAATCAAATACTGGTACTGGTATAGAATCAATT